ACCAACAGCTTTGACGCTATTGGGATAAGGCTTATATCACAATGATTGGCGCAGTCATTGCGCGGGCTCTTTTTGAAGATGTGGACAACAATCGATTCCTCCCACGAGGAAGGGACTTGCTCAGTGTTCCACATTTTAGAGAACAGAACTTGTAGTTCTTTCACAAGCTTTATTCCGCCATCTTTAAATAGAGCAGGGGGAAGGCCATCGGAGCCCGGTGCTTTGTGACGTCCCAAGGCTTGGATTTCCTTACAGATTTCCGCCTTAGAAGGTGGGTCTGTTGAAACAGACCATAGGACGTGTGCCGGAATAGTTGTGTGAGAAGCTGGCGCGGGTGGCAAGCTAAATTGGTGAAATTTCGAATGAATATGGAAAAGGGGAAGGAGTCATGGCCGTTGTTGAACAACGATCAACCCTGTAAATTCATGTTCTTCCATAGATGGATCAGAGTAACCGTTATCGGAGGGCCGAAGATATGAGAGATTTGACCAATTCTTTGTTTAAAACAGCAAAGCACACATGAGCTTCAATCAACTCTTAAAAGATAAACTTAAAGGATACTTTGGCGACTGGGCAAAGCAAAAATAACCCGAAGGTCATTTATACACTAACAGAACACAATTCAACATCCCAATGAACCCTCCTTCACACAATGTGCAGACAGATCTGTCTACTGCATGTCATCCAAATCGCCTTGTTTACCTTGATTTGTTGTCCCAGAGTTTCCGAGTCCAGGGAGAGCAAAATCATCTGAAACGAGGCGGTTGGATCCAAAGTGAACGGCCGGGTCCACGACTGGACTGATCGTTTTGTGGTCGATCGCGAATAGGGCCGGTCAGATCCGGATTCCAACGGATTTGTGATCTGCAACGTGCGATGCATATGCACAAGCAAATTACGACCGATAAGTCACGTGAGTGTGTCATAACGGTACCAATAAAATAGTACAAATGGATACAGGAGAACGGGTGAATAAAGAAATACAGTAAATTTCCTGCTACGTCACATTTTCCAATATCTTCTCACTTTTTCGAAAACCCAAACCAATCGTATGTCTAATGACTTAGTTTCTGACTATGCGATGTCGCATCCCCCCAATATCTCGCAGTTCCTGATACGTACTCACTTGGTCGTTGACCCATGTGCGGGACGAACATTAACCATCCACCCTAAAATGTCGCACTCAACCAATGGCGTTGCATCTAGTTTGACGCGTTCATGGCATTATTCACTGATTGGATAATCCTAGCTAGGAAGTCACACCGATACAAGCGATCGGAGACAGTGTCATTTGACGTCAAAATGTGCAAGCGCCCATCGATCAGAGAGAAGCAGAACGTGTTGGAAATGCTGAAACAGCCAGGCGCAACTCAGAGCTCCATATTCAAGTCACTTGGAATTTCAAGAAAAACTGTCTACAATGTTGTATCCCATCGAACGACTATCGGGGAATTTTTGAACGCTGGTGCATCTGAGGGAAGATGCCACCTTAAAACCAACGAAACGTTCAAGGCAGTGAATGAGACAACTTTGGCTTGGTTTACCGCTATGAGGGAAAAGCACGGAGAATTCCCAGTGGTGGAGAGCATCGTTCATAAGAAGGCAATCCAGCTAGCACAAAGATTGCATCATAATGCCTTCAAGGCTTCCAAAAGTTGGTTTCGCTCTTGTTCGGACAGATATGGTATTCAGTCGTACAAAGTAAGAAACAAGCAACTCATGTGCATTGCTTTATAGGTCTGTGGGGAAAGTTTAGCGGTACCACGTGATGCAGTGAATAAGTTTCGAGCGGGGTCACCGCAGTTGATACAAGGATATGCTGACTGATATTTTCAATGTGGATGAAACAGCTTTGTAATACAGGGGACTCCCAGAAAGAACATTGAGTCTGAAAGGACAGACAGTTTCTGGGTCCAAGAAATCCAAAGAAAGAGTCATGTTACTGCTTTGTGGGAGCATGACTGGAGAAAAGTTATCACCCTTGGTGATCGGAAAGTTTCAAACTCCACGATGCCTCCGAGGTGTAGATAGAAAAAGCCTTCAAAGCCTTCTTCGAAGAACGCATAGATGACTTCTACGTTATTTCACAGTTGGCTGTCCGATGTTAACCGTAAAATGGTTTCTCAAAGACGATCTATTTTACTATTTATGGACAAGGCTCCTTGCCATAACTAAGCCGCAGTATTTTCCAACGTCAAATTGGTACGGCTGCCTCCGAACTGTTCTTCGATGTTACAACCAATGGATCAGGGTATGATTTGGTCTTTCAAATGTTCGTTTCGGGAACATTTACTGGAATATGTTTTTTCTTTGATCGAAGATGAGCAACGTATCATGAAAGCCGAGGTGGACATTCTCATGACCATGCATCTGGTCATGAAAGCTTGTGTCTGTGCACCCACATGTACTGACCAACGCTTTCATGAAAGCAGGGTTCAAATCCACATTGATTCAGCCGGTGATGCAGCCACCCGAGGATAAATGCGATCTGATCGAGGGCTTTACACATTATGTGTCTATTGATGACCGTCTTTTTGAAGAAGAAATCGCCTGATTGGAACTTGATGATGAAGAAGTGGGTTATTTAAAATTTTTGTATCAAGTCTCTTTTTAGTCATTAGATGAACTCGTTTCGCATCAAGCTAAGCATCGCAAAGAAGAAGATGAATGCGAGGCCGTGAATGCTCCGGAAGTTATCTCAATCAGAGAGGCGCAGAAGTTATTGGATCAACTGAAGCTCTGCCTTGGCTAATGCTCAGAGTTCGGGTCGATTATTGGAGTGTACAATTGGTTTAAGCAGCGCGTTTGTTGATTTCCAACGGAGAGCCAAGCTGAGACAAACGACAAATTATGATTTCGCTAAAAATACATCTTTCTGATCTGGGAAGGTTTTTGCTATTCTGTGGGGCACTGAACTGAAATGTGAGGCACTCGAATGTGGTCATTTTTGCTACAGTGATCACCAAAGCCACGATCATTCGGTCTATCGATGGGCTCTGTAGTACTAACGTGCAAACGGGTGAACGATATTCGCGATTGACTGGTAAGCGGATGAGTGGAGTGAGCTGTCAGATCCGAGCGATCGATGAACACCGTCACACGGACGCGCCTGTGCGAATGAGTGAACGATACTCTCATTTAGCCTAGAGCACCGATGAAATTATACAGGTCACCTGCCAAAGGTCATTGTAACCCAGGTCTAAGGAGAGTTTATGAGATGCACTTTTAGCTTATGAACCTCTTGTGATGATTCTCTGCCAACACCTAGCATTAGATTCGGAACCTGTCCTTCTCCAGTGTCGACCCGAAAATCGCACGACCGATCGGTCGAATGGTTCAGTCGCAACAAGGGACCTGGTGCTTGCCCAGCTAACCCGAGCGAGAAACCACACCTTGTCTACAACCGTGAGTCTTAGGCAGGCTCAGTGAACTTTCACTGCGCAACAGGAATGCCATCAGCACACGGATGGACTGAACATGACAACAAGATCAAGTCAAGTATTTGCTTTATGCACCCCGAAAGGTGGATATTTAGCAGTCACATAGTCGTTTAACAATTATCGAACAAAATTACAACATAATTATCATCACAAAAAGTAGAAGATGGGGTAATCGGACTATCGGACTATCCACATAACAACATGACATCTTAAATTGAAAAAGGTGTGGCTTACGAATCACGTTAAGGCATCACTAGTTGAACTTAGTCCGACCAATAACGGTCATGACGAATGCGTCAATCAGTTTGAACATACACTGGTAACAACAGAAGCGAACGAACGAATAGATGTCTACAGACATTAATTATACACATTTTTCAATAGAAAATCATGAATAGATTGCACAACGAACAATCAGTTTGAATATGGGAAGGAAGTCAATGTTCTGCATATGCCCCGTAACAGATGTTTCACTCATTTTAGATGTTATTTCCTTCTCATTGTATTCGAACTGGTTAACCTTTATTTTCCGTGAATGGGTCAAAAATGATGTGATTCTTATAGCTAAAACAGTTGTATATTATGGTGGAAGTCATATAATCAATTTTGTGGTTAGCCTAACGTTGTAACGGAAAAGAGGAATTAATATGGGATAATTGGGCCAGAAAAAGTTCCCCTGAAGAAAGGTAGGTAGATTCGGGATAACTAGACACATAGAAATGGAAAGGGCTGAATACCGGATGCAATGTGTGGATAATAGGCTGAGGGCGTCATAAAATATTTAAATTTCTGCGATACATACAGGATACACAGGACTGTAGATTTAAATTCCGTTATAAATAAACAGTTTATAATCATAACTATTGGCAACAACTAACGGGATTAACCTACTTTTCATCGATCCGGTTTTGTTTTGTCACAAAACTCTCAATCGATGTTTATACTACTTATTAGCACCTACTACTGTTTACCCTGCTATGTCGCAGTTCCTGAAATTTACCCACTTTTTCGAATTCCCGAGGGGTGCGACATAGCAAGAGATTGATTGCATGTAGGTTAAGTGCTTTTAACAAAATCTACGGAGCTAAAGAGTGTGAAGTATAATTTGAAACAAGTGATGAATTTCTCAGATAACTTCCAACTACTACCTATAAAAGCCATTCCTTGCCTTGTTTTGAGTTGAATACACTTCTGGTCGAGTTGGGGGTCCAATAATTAGAAGGCATTACAATCTGAAAGTCACTTTACCAGGCTCTAATGAGAACCCACGATTCTTTTTGATCTGAATTGCATACAGCAGTATGTCTAAAGGATTCTGGGGGCGGGGGCGGGGCTTCAGATTTAGTTCTCCAATTGGCGAAACTACTGGGTTTACTATCTATCGGAAAGTTGGCGGGTTCCAGTTGAATGGAGTGCATCGATGACCTTAACGATTTACAATAGAGAGGATAGATTCGCTTGTGGAAAATTAGTTCCATCGAAATTATCTTGAAATTTATCGTAGGTATCATATTCCGTTGGTTGTCTTCCACACTTTGAACGGCCCAGGCGTGGGAACCAGACTGGTTTCCTAAGTCAAAGTCAAAGTCTTATTATGGGCGATTTAAGAAAGCTAAAGTTTATCATGTCCCATAGGATTTTAACAGAATATTCCGTCAGAACACTATTAGGGTAACGCACGGTGACAGAAAAAAAAATAAACAAACTGAGAGACTCTTCAGATAAAGGGTAGGAGACATGAGCTAGTGCGTTTTGGTAAGACAAAGCAAAGTCACTTACACTGTGTGTGAACTCGACTATCACGCGACTCACATCCATGGGAAGCGGAGCATGGGACCTAACGAGGGACACACAAAGAGAAATTAAATGGAAACGAAAGGAGCATACGCTATAGACAAGGATCACACGTGCATTAACAGAGCATGTAGTGACAATAAAGAAAATCTTTACAATCGATAAATTAAAACGAAGTAACAATTACAACACGGTGTCCACAATTAGATTTGGCAATTTTCTTCTCATCACGTCTCAAAACCATTGAACGGAAGTTAAGCGACCAGCGTGTAACTCATACAGACATCTGTCAAAAGAAACATGGTATATGGTGGCTGCGGGGGGGGGAGGATTCCACAAATTGTCTATGGATGCAATAGTGTCAGACAGTCCAGCTCGAAGTAAGTATAAGTGATATGTGAAGCTTTGCACCAGTCGTACCCTTAGAAACTGGCAATGGGTGGTCATGTTTATACACCTATGAATGGTGGCTTCAATTTAAGGTTGCGGTTCAACTTGCTGGCACTAAGGTGCACCGGGCTAATCATCTATTCATAAAACAAAATCTGAAATTAGGCAGCTTCAGGGCAACCCGGTCCAATGCAACATTGAAGCTTTATGTGAGTCGCATTATAAGTCTCAAGACCTACCTTACATAAGTTAGCAGGAGGTTCTCGTGACTATGAGATTCGTCCTGACTACTGTACACTTCACACTGCTGCAGAATAAAAGAGGAAGGCAGTGTGCTATTTTTATGGACACACATCATGATCACAAGAAGGAGCGAGTATGTACACAGGGAAAAGGGGAGGAGACGTGCGCAATGTTACGGAGTCATTAGAGACCAGCTTACTTCAAAAATACGGCCAACTGGACCGGTTGGTCAACTGTGTAATGCGCTTGCGTGAAAGCAACTTTGCATTCAACTGTGAGAACAAGTGGGACAGAAGACGATTAAACTGATCGTGGTGATCGGAACAACAACAACAATAATAATAAAAAAGTCGGCAGTTACAAGTACGAATAAAAGCAGCCATAAATGTTCATTGAGAACACGATCAGATGAGTTTAAACGAGCAATGATCCAATGTCCTAAACAACGGGGAAGACTATCTCTGAGTGTATAACGAATCCGCTGAAAAACAAAAGCAGTGTTGTCATTGACTGAGACCAGTAGTATGCAGCAAATTAATAAGCCATATGAGCCTGAGTCTTAAGAGCATAAGTGTGACTGGGAGATGAGGAAAGCCTAATCGAAGATTGCAATAGGGTTGAATAATAATAATACCTTAGTTACCTCTGGTTCGAGAAAACACAACTAGGATAAAAAAAGACATTATTGGCACTCTTGGAGTGGTGGCAGCGGATGATAACCGAGATATTGATTGCAATCCTCTGGACCAGTCCAACCAAGAATTAGAGACATCGGGTGGTATGATTAAGCGATGTGAACAGTGGTGGTGTTTATTCGTATTTTATATCCATATTTGTGTGCAATTATTAAGTTTCTATTTCTTCCTTCGACCACTATTTTTCATTGATCGACTAAATGGATAGCCGGATGAGATGCGGTGAAACTGGTACCTGAAAGCCTTAAGCGAACCGATGACTGCATCTAATGGCCACCGAAAGCCTCCGTTTGGTCAGCGGTGAAGGTCTCGGGTGGCGGCTGGCCATTCTTTCCTTGCACCTAGCGAAATGCTTCTTTACGACCAAGTGTCCCGAATAGTTCCTACTGAACAAACCCTAATCAATACTTGTGGCGGGATTGTTTCCCCATCAAAGTGAGAGGAAGAAAAGCCAATATCCGGGTCGGTGAACCACCGCCACTTCACCTAGGGGAGTTGGCTAAAAATCCTGAACCATACACAGTCTCCTGGTCGTGGTACTAGTCATTGGCTAGATTGGGTATCGAGGTTTATTGGGTACCTTGGACGTTTGCCCCCCATCAATGGGCGTATGATCCGAGGAATTGAACACCGGCTCCCAATAGATTGCGGTTTTCATACACCTCTTCGCTGCCTTGCGGGTTAGGCTTTGGCTGTAGTCAAAGGATTCGGTTGTGAATTCCTTAAGAAAATTCATCTGCTTTGACCTGGGCAACCTAGCAGTATCGCGCCCACAAGCGAAGCATGGAAAGTTTCTCTTTTTAAAAAGATTATTGTACCGTGATGTGTTGGGCATATGGTGTGAAATAAAGAAGTGCGTCAAAATGAAAAAGATATACCAAATTACGGATAAGCTCTAAAACGGCGTTAAATGAACGCCAAGGTCAAATTTATAACCATGGCAAAACAGAGCACCAACAACAGGTACATACTGTTGACAAATTTCCACGAGAAAATCGCTAGATAATGCATTTGATCAGTTTGGAGAAACACAACGTCAGTTTATTTTGAATAAAAAGCCCTATTGAGAAGCACCGTAAAATTCCCATGGTAAGAATTAGGCAGCATTCTGGTTTTTAAAAGCTATCCAGATCGGTGAGATATCAGGGGAGCAGATTGGATATAGCTTTCATACAAGATCACAAAACGTACTGCACACGTTTAACCGATTGGCTTCGAGGATGACGTTGCACGATTCAACAAGACCAGTCTGTCTAGTTTTATTCTTTCTATGTAACTTGGATTCCTCATCTACGACATTTGATTCGGACGGAACCGGGTCGGATTCGGACGGGGCAGACAGAGAGGCCGGAGAACGATGAAGACAATTGGTCCACGAATCTCTTGTCTCGCTCGACATTTGTCCAAGCTCCGTTATGAACAGTTGCGCCTCGGGGGGTTCCCGCTACAGATCAAGTTGAGGGAGAAGTGAGAAACAAGCTGAGAGCAATGCAATACAAACCAAAGTGAATTCCGATGAGAGGGCGGGCCATGACAATCTCGAAATACAGAGATCAAGTATCAGGCATTTCCAGCAAGAATGACTCAATGAAAATGCAATAATTCAACCCATCTACTGAAAATTCTGCGGCTTAGATTTTTCCGTTTCTATTGTTAAACATTAAGTTCTTATAAACAAAGTTCATTTCATTTTCGATCCATTTACAAGAGCATGCAATCAAATATATAGTCCTATTCAAGTTGGGTTGCCTGGTGGATTGAAGTGTTACGTTCTAATCGTGAAAATTTCAGTAGCTTCGTTGAGATCAGAATCAACACATGGACACCAACTACGCTTTTGTACAGTGTACGGTCTACCAGCTGAGCTACGCGAGGTCACATCGAATGCAACTATCTTTTCACATAGGTAGGCGGCGTCCATGCGTTTCAAATCCGACCATGATCATGTTGATTGAGCAGAGTGTTTCAAGACGAGGGGTTCTGCACAACTATGAAAAAGGCGCGGGTGCATGGGGAATTTCGCAAGATGATCGAGGGTTGACGCATACCACATAGAAACTACACAGAAGCGTATATATATTGCTTGTTTGACGTTTATTCATTTCCTTACGGGTTAACAAGCTTCATTTTGTTTCTATTCCCTGAGGTGATAAGAAACTGAATTTACCGCTTAACCGTAACACAATTGGCTAAAATCAGAGGAGGCGAGGAGGGGGAGGGGAACAACTTAGGCGCAGCTATTTGAACGATGGAACATGTTTAGTTGATCAGAGACTCCGTATTTGAATACACAGAAACCGTTCGGATTCGGATCAGTAACCGTCAGAAGGGCGTGCATGCTCGGCTGATAACACACCCAAGCCAAGTGTTTTATAACAGCATCAAGTAATAAAAAGCGACAGGGTTGAATCCCTCGGGAGAGTGCATGGCATGTGTTCGTCATCCCTAGAACATGAAGTGGTAAACAATGCAAGGCTCTAGTAGAATCGATGAAGCATTCAGCTGGACGACAATGCAGGTATCTACCACCAAACATTTCACCACTTATCTGGACACCACTAACCGCAGTCATTCAGGAATTGGATAATAACCGCTATCACCAAACGTATCCAGCGATTTAAAATCTGAGACCCCAGTTGCTTTCTCTGTGTTTTCGAAACGCAAAGTGAATAGTCTGTGTGTGGCGATGAGTTCGGACTCATCATTCATTACAAAACGCTTGTGTTTCTATCGAAAACGTATGTGATGGGAGTGACCTAGTGCATGATACAATACGGTGTCAAATTGCAGAACGAAACCATGAACTGTGTGCCGATTGCAAGGCGCCTCAAAGGGGGAGGCAACGAGAGTTCCACAGTCCTCTCAACTCAGACGTCAGTTATTATTTAAAATCGCGGGCAATCACCACGCTGGTTGCAAACTAGGATAAATCTGCTCAGTAAACCTTTTACAAAATCTGCAATTCTCCCTTGGTCAATATTTGCCCATTTTCATTCAAGGACTATTATTTCTCTCTGAATGGCAAACCATGGGATTCTTACACACCTGGCATACTTAATCTGTGAATTGCCTGTTAACACAGTCAATGTACGTCACAGAACCTTGTCGATAGTTTGCAAACAACAATAAGTGCTTTTTTGCTGGACACCAGAAAGGAGTGAGTTCTGATCAGAGCTTATCAACAGCGGACATCAGTTGTGTATCGAGAACCATGAATATTCAGTTTGGCTGTTGAAATCCTCATCTTTGAACTGAAAGGTTAGTTGCTTCTAATCAAACAGCATGAAGAACTAAGGCAACCGTACATCATCTGCTTTCGGCGTTGCAAACACTGAACCACATGCGACTTTATGTAAAAATGGATCAGGTTTGAGCTATCGTCAAGAGCTACACTTCATTGGAAGATGGGCATTGTGAATAAGAGAATCGGGATGGTCGCAACCGATGGTTAGAAACACTGAATGATATGGCGGGGTGTTGTAAACAGTGGCGTTCGTGCATTTTCCCAATTTCTCTGCTTTATTATTCCACTGAACTTTTCAATTTTCTATTCGATCCTACTTTCTACCTTCTTGTTTTTCTCCTATTGTTCACCCAAATGGGAAGCCAAAAGACAGCAACCAAAAGCGTCGCACCGAAATGCAGGCTTAGTGGTTGCCTAAACTGAAACTGATTCATCCTCACCCCGAAAAAGTTTGATGCGTTGAAA